TAAGATATTTTTAATGTTGATACAAAAGAGTGAATAGTACCACTTTGCTTTGACTAAAACAAAAATGTTGTATTGGGGGGGGGGCATATGTGTTCACATGCGCGTGTGTACATGTGTGCATGCACATTCTTATGCATGAGTATGTGCATGCACTGTTTCCTATGTTCTGAAAAAAGCGTTATAGTTTTCATAGTGTCATATGTCTTCTACAAGAGAATTTATTGGTAATATTGTGGCATGTTGTGCAACGGAGGACCCCTACCTCCCCAGCGGCATGTTGCGGTAATGTAGCGCTCGCGTAATAGGCAAGTCATCAACCCGCCACTCTCCCCGCGGTGACGTGCCGAGCGGAGCCGAAGTTAGCCGAGTCCCCGCAACCTGGTAGCTATGCAACGCGAGTCAACAGCGGTGACGTCACCAAGGGATATCGCGGTTGCTAGGCAGCAGTCAACAACTCCGGACAGCGTTGCTATCAACACGGCACCGGACGACAGTGGTCTGGAACGAGGCTACATAAGGAGCAGCGAAGGCTGTTCACAGTTAGTTCCGAGCAAGCCTACGAGTCAGAGTGTGTTATCAACAGTTCTCAAGGCAGCTACCTACGAGTTAGTTCCAAGAGAGTTCCAAGTTAGCCAGCAACCAGTCAGTTGCATTCTGGCATTTGGAGTGTAGTATTTGTGATACTGCAGATAGCAGTAGTTGTCAGATTGTTAATTGTGTGATTGTAAGAGCGAATGTGAAATAAAATTCGCTATATCAAATACGGTGTGAAGTTATTTGTTGCGTTATACACCCAATACATGACAACTGGTGTCAGAAGTGGGATTTGGACTTACACATGTGATCAACGAGATTCGAACTCAAGACACGTGACAATATGATACCACTGAACCTATTTCTGTTATAAGATGTATCTGTAGTAATTTACCAAGTTCTGTTCATCAATTATATACTGGGTATGTAACCTGTACCAAAAGAGTTATAAGCGTGATAGCCTTGCATAAGCTGTTTAATGTGTATGCGCTGGTTGTGAGCCTGGAGCTCGGAAAGGGGAGTTCTTTATTTATGAGAGCATGCATGTGTAAGCCCTTTTTCTTTGTAAGTTTTTATGGGATTAAGTTCATTATATCTTGGTAGAACTTGTGACATTGAATTTAAGAATATGTTTTTAATGCTTCATTAAAATGTGCTGAAGTTAGGGTCAGGAAAACTGCAAAACATGTCTCTGAAAACATGTGTTTACTGTGGAACTAACTTATACTGTGGGTCTGTAAATCACAAACAGTTTCCTCTTAATGGTATGTCTGTAGTTATTACAATATGCATCTTACAGCCTGGTCTGTGGTCAGACAGCCTAGAGGTGATGACTGGTGCTGCACCCCCTGACACCCCAAGCGAGCCTATGGTTATATGCCGGTCCTCACATCATGCTGTTATTCAGTGGGATGAACCTTCCAGCAATGGAGCACCAATCACAGACTACCGGCTGGAGATGAGTATGACAGACAGAGAGCAGGATTATACTACAGTATTCCATGGCTTGAGTCACTCCTATGAAGTGCGAAGCCTGGCTGCAGCCACTCCATACTACTTTCGGATACAGGTATGAATATCATATTATTTTTTGGAACTGTGTATATAAAACTAATTTTTAATCATCTACATGGAATCAACCCCCCCCCCCCAACCCTAAATTAGTTATCCTCAGTTTTAGACAGTATATCATTTATTGACTTTTGAAACTGTAACTTAGATTTATCTGAATTAATTTAATCTCCTCACTACTGATGCACCTTTCCTGTGTTGTGTCTGTCAGTGATTCATCCATTGCATAGCTTTTGCATTTGCATAGTATAACATTGCGACCCTCCTCAAAACTTTCATTTATTAGAAGTCATTTTTTCCTGGTTCCCCAATTATGAATCATATTTTTTCCCCAATTATTCCATGTCCTGCAATAAAATATATGCAGTTACACCTTACTAAAAATAACCTTTAAACATCACACTATAAATTCTCTAGTTGTGCTAACTGTTGGGAGTTTTTCTGCTGGTGTATTTACATTTTAATGGAAGATATGGAAAAACTTTAATATTTCAATGAGTGGGAATGATGAATTCTCAGAATAAATGGCATTTTAATCTAAATTAAAAATGGAGTGTGCAGTTTAACCTCCGTTAATGTATTTTATTTTTTAATTATAATAATACAAGTTTATAACATTTCTTTAACTCAAAGGGTTTTTAGTTGTCACAGTGATGGTTATGAAGACATCTCTCATCTGGGATGTAATAGTGAGTAGCCCATTTCCCCAAAATGCCAGGTGACTCCTGCCACTGCATAGGACTGTCCTTCAAACTGTTCAAAAAATTTATCAAATATGATTTCTAACATGCTGTCCACCTAGATCTGCTTAGCAGTGGCAAACATAGTTTTACCAGGGTGGTTTGTTTCTAGTTAAGCCCTCCTGACTCAGTAATGACTGGCATTATGGGCCTTAATCTGAATATGGATGTAATCAGAATTCCAGGTTCACCTCTGCTGCTGCAGCTCTGTATATTACCAATGAAACTTACATTGTTGTACATGCTGCAGACTGATTACATTGTTACATTAGGTATAGTGACCAGCTGTTGACAGCAGCTCAGCCCACACCCAAAAATCAAATGTTTTGAGTACTGAATACATAGTATGTGTTCTTCCTAGCCCGTGCCATAGCTCAAGCGGTTAGTCACTAGCTTCCCACCGCAGCGGCCCAGGCTCGATCCTGGGTCTGGTCAAGTGGGATTTATGGTGGACCAAGTGGCACTGGGGCAGGTTTTCTCAGAGTACTTCAGATTCCCCTGCCAATCTTCATTCCACCAATTGCTCCACAATCACCCTCACCTATCATCTGGGGCTGGTACAATAGGCCAGAAGTGGCCGCAGTACAAGGGACTTAGTCCCACCCCACTAACAATAAAAGAAAATATGTTCTTGTTTTTAGATGACTGCTCATTTTGTTGATGCTGCATTAAAGGGATGAAACTCATTCTGTATTCGTGTGATTACAGTATCTGCGAAACATCTTGTTCCATTTTATTGGGTGCCAGCTCTGAGCACATATTGCTTATGATGTGTTTGTTTTTGTATAGGCTTCTAACAGTGCTGGATGGAGCGCAGTTTCAGCAGCAAGTCAAACCATTACTCCCCCTTCATCCCCTGCAGCCATGTGTTTGCCTCGTTATGTAGTTACACCAACCACCATAAAGCTCTCCTGGCAGGAGCCTGCCTGCCATGGTGCTGATATTCTTCATTACAATATTGATGTGGGCGATCACATCGAATCAACTATTGGACCAGCAGTGGAGCACACACTGGATGGCCTAATACCAGACACAAGTTACAGGTCCTTATATTTCTTTATAAGCATGAGAAGTAAAATTCTGTGTTATGTCACAGAATGGAGCATTTGATGTGATAACTGTTGAACCTGAATTTCCTGCTTAGCTAATTGAATTTTTTATGAGATTTTAGTCATTATAATATTTGTCATTAGTTTTTTGTACTTTTATAGACATAATGAAGTAATAAAAAAACTTTCAAGTATAACATGTAGTAGTTAAAAACTGTACTTCTTAGATAAATGATGCCTTGCATGTTTCAGTCCTATAGGGCCATCATCAGAGGCTAATGTGTTAAAGAGGAGATTGCTTACTGTACACTAACACAGTGATACAGTACCACCCACACTGACCACAATACCATCCCTGTTGTATGTCTTAGCTTCAGTGGCTTTACAGTTCTCAGATATCAGATTCACAGTTCACACACACTCTTATCTTTACTGTCAAGAGTCCAAACTCCTTCCTCATCATTCCACTATCCATTTCATCAGATATATGGCACCTCGTAAATCCTTTGTCACTTCAGGAGAGATTTGTTGCTGTGGTCTCGATCCACTGGCACAACTGTTCTGTGCTGGGACTCTTTGTGTTCCCAGTGGTGGCAGAACATGGTTCCCTACCAACAGCCATTCAGAATGGAATTGTTTCAAATTATCCTTGAGAATATTTTCTAGAGTGTGTAGTTAAGAGATCATCCCTTCAGATGCAACTACAAGGTTAGTATTCAGTGCATGAATCACAGATATAATATCTTGTGTTAAATGACTTTTACATCCAGAACAAGCATTTCTGTGTTCTGAACAACACTCTTGGTCTCATCTTCCATGTAATTTGTAACCAGTCCAGTTCCCCATCAGTTCATTTTAGTTGCCCAGCCCATAGTTAGACACCTGATTATTAGTTACACAGGCAGCTGTACTTGTAGCCATAGTTCTTTTATTCGTTGTCATGGCAGTAAGTTGTACTGTCTGCCTACCATGTTAGCGTTATAGCCACTTGCATCTATCCTTTGCCTGATGTTTTTATGAAAGCAGATTTTGGTGTAATCGGATGATGTAGTGAAATACACAGGTATTTCGTTAGCGCTACGTCTAAGTCTAGTGATCACTTGTTTTAAAATGAAGTTCTTCACTAGAAAGAAAACCCATTCCACCGCATCATTTATACACATCACTCCTTCTGGAGTTAAATTCCTGCTGCTTATTCAGTTTAATGATGTTGCACAAAACTGGCATTGTGTTCAATTTTTTAATCTGTACAGACATTAATATTTGCATTAAAATTGGCATGGATTCTGTTTCTATTGTTTCAACCTTCAGATGTTTGCTCATGATTCACTACATTTTCTTTGCTGCATCGCGGTTGTTTGTTTGTTATGCATGTTTAATCACCTTAATATACTTGCAGCATCTGACAGTTTTGGCACATTGTAGTGTAGTTGGTTGAGGCACTAAGCTACAAGCCGGAAGGTCATGGGTTCAAGTCCAATGAGGAGAATCTTTTCAGTTTACCTAATCCTTCCAGCCGCACTATGGCCCTGGGGTTGACTCAGCCTCTAACAGAAATGAGTACCAGGAATCTACCTTGGGGGTAATGGGTCGCCGGTGTGTAAGGGTGACAACCTCACCTCCATCTGTGAGCCGATAGTCTACAGAAAGTGTGGGAGCCATCTCAGAACCCTATTGGCCTTCATGGCCTGTTACAGGAATAGCTTTACCTTTTTATTCCCTTTGTACTAGTACCTGTTTTCTTGACATGATCTGGCAATTTTATGGTGAAGAACACTTGCATTAACACAGAATTTTATGCTATTATAAATGGTGAATTACAATTTTTGTTTCCTAACTTCTGCGGCACGTCAGAAACTGTGTGTGGCCACTTTGGCTTCTGGGCTTCAAACATATTTCTGTCTTTTCTCACTTGCTATGGTGAACTTTAGCATGGACACCATAGAAAGCTTAAAAACTTATAGCACTCAAATTCACGAAGACCCATAGTTCTGTAAACTTGAAAGAGGAGTGGGTATTCATCTTCCATTTGGGCAGTTACAGTACCAGTCCCTTTTGATATACGTCAGTGCACAAAGTAGAAGAAATTATTAGAAAATTATTGAAGTTTGAGACTAAAAATTGAGTGTTCAAATTGAGATTAAGATTTTTTCCTTCATTTTATACTTGAGACTTGCACATGCATAGTAAGTACTATCAATAAATTTTTATTGTGTTGACTGTATAAATTAATATTAACTAACCAGAATACACAGCAGGATGTAGCATATGAGAATACAGTAGTATCTTTTTAACCTTTCAAACTTGAATGTGGCAAATCAAAGAGGAATGGATCCTTAAGACCTGCAGGAACATACACACTTGGTATTAATATTCATTGGTTTCTTTTCAATAGGCTGCGAGTACAGGCAGTAAACAATGTGGGACCAGGGCCATTCTCACCCGTCTTACGTGTAACAACCCTGTCACTCCCCCCTGCACCACCCAAACTTGAATGTGCTGGTGTAGGACACAACTACTTGAAGCTCAAGTGGGGTGATGGCAAGAACCCCAATTTCACCCAATATACAGTTGAATCAGACAATACATGGATGAAGGAGTAAGTGGAATATGTTCCAGAACAATTTGAGAACAGTTTATTTTTCCTTACAGTAATTTTTATATATGTTACAAAACTCTGTAAGGTACATATGTTTGTATGCAAGGCCAAATGCATTATTTACATCTTTCTATATTTAAATTTATAGTCACAGTGTCAGTCATGTGTTCTCAGCCTGAGAAATGTTTTTACATCACAGAAGAGCTTTGATTTATGTATTACTTTTGTGTTTAATGTAATGAGAGTTAGTTATTCTCTAAAGACTTGTCACCAGGTGGGTATGCAGTTCTTTTGATGCTTTATGTACTTAATTATGCTGTCATTGCAGAGACATTTAACTCTCTTTGGAACTATCTTTAGTGAAGAGTGAAACAAATAAGCCATAAGAGCCTAATCTAATGGATAAAGTATTGTGGCATATTGGCTGAAAGACAGAATTGTGAAGCCAGCAGAGACAGCCGTTGGTAGGGAACAGCTTCATAAACACACCCGTTCCTAGGCAATGGCTCAGTGGCTATCACATGGTGACCCAAACAGACATTGGAAGTAGTGTTTTCCATGTGTGTGCTGTGGCTAACAAGGACCAGCTGCAGTTAATCATTATATGTGCAGAATGTAGGCTTGATGAAAGGCCAAGCATATTCATAAGAGACAAACCCATCTCGTCAGAGAGGATGTTACATAAGGACTATTAACACATGATTTCAGTTGAAAAAATCTCTGGCCATAGGTCTCAAGCAGCTTGACACCAGGACAAACTGATTGGCTGTAAACCTCCATTTGTAAAGTAACTTTGACTTTGACTTTGAGTTGGTTGTTCAAGAAGGCGAGAGAGAGCATGCAGGCCGTCAGTTGTGAGTGACAGAAGCTGGGGACAGTTCAAGAACCTGGAGGAAGGGGAAGGTCTGCCATTGGCAGCTGCTAACAAGCAGCACAGTGAAGACCGTGACTAAGATCACTAGTATTTTTGTGATAGTGCTTTGTAAAGTAGTCACATGTGGTTTAAGAGTGCAATAAATCCAATTATCTATGCACACCCCATCCACAGTCAGTCACATGACTTCTGATGTCAGAAGTGGGATTATTGGATGGGAAAGGATAAAATTGATTGAATTAATGGATCAGGGATTGCATTGGGTAGTCATGTTGCATACTACAGGAATAGAGCAAATGATGGAATGCCTGCTAGGCAAAGTGAGAGAATTTCCAAGTTGATGATGGTGAAAATAAATATCAACCAAACCAGAATGGATACCATCCTCAAGGAGATCATAGAAAAAATTAAGGCTTGAGAAAAGAGATGACGCCTTGCCCAGAAATGATGGAGGCCAGGATAAATACTGGCCAGAAACCAAGGGAAGCCAAAAGTAAGACTTGCCTAGAAACTATATGTATAATATAAATACCGTCATAAATACAATTCTTTTGTAGTGCTTTGTTTTTCTTCTTTTACACTACATGTTTTGGCCGTAACTGGCCATCATCAGGTGTATTTTCACTTACGTAGCTGTCATACTGCACATAAATTAAAATTTAAAAACACCAGTTCTCTCAATTGCCATTGCTGCATTTCAGTTGGTCCCAATATACCAGAATCTCCTTGCTGATTTGGTCAGTTATGTTTGAAATCTCTGTTAATATACACTTGCCTAGAAACAGTGAAGGTCGTGGATTTGGAGGCAAATCCAGAAGAAATAGAGGCAATAGCAGAGCACCAGTAAGTTCCTGATGAAGAGCCAGCAATAGAGATGTAAGATTTGAGGCTTTCATGGCGGTGACTATGAAGAAAGCAGTCTTCTGGGATTTGGCACCACATATACACGGTGCCAAATCCCAGAAGACTGCTTTCTTCTCAGCAATAGAGGTGATCGGAGCACTGGAAGATGGGTCTGGAGACTGGCATCTGGCCATAAGGCACTGGACAGTTGACCCACTGTTCAGGAACAGCACAGCATAAGGGTTGCAGTCAAGAAGAAATGACAGAAGGGCTCAGAATTTAACAATGACATAAGGACCCAAGGCCTGAAAGAGGAGCTGCATTTGGGGAGCAAGGAGAGATTTTATGAGGCCTTCAGACAAACCATCTGGATGGAGATTGTGAAGTGAACAGCTAGGTCTCCTGTGCGGATTTGAAAAATGTCTGTCAAGACATTGTGGAGGAGCTGGCCACTGCCCAAGCAGTGCTCTGTGATTGTATAGCTGCAAGATATCTGCTCTCCCAGAAACTGTTGAATGTTGTCTGTCTGTATGCATTTTTCTTCAGTTTTGAATATAACATAATCCTCTATATGTGAATGAATATGAGAGTAAAGAAGCCCTTTTGTAATACATTCTGCTTCATTTACAGATACAGTATGACCCCCACTAGTTCACTGAAAATTAAAAGAGTTCGTAGTTGTGTAAATGTGGTAGTATACTTCCCATGGTTAATGATTCTTTCTTGACTTCTGAAATATTTAATCCACTCTTCATTTCCTCAATCTGTTACACTGGATAGTCAGGCTCCCACTTGCTTCACATGCACATTACTGCTGACTCACTGGCTTTTGTGGTCAATTTTTTGTTCCTCATCCCCCTCCAGTATTTTTGTGTTTTTCTATATGTATAAGGTAGGCTGCACAGTGGCATGTGTCAAGACATGTAACAGTCAAGACATGATGTCTTCGACATGATGCAAAGAAAGGAGCACAATTGGAACGAATGAGATTATGAAAACTGCTGCACACCAGCCTGAGTCATGATGTCAGCATCATGACTCAGACCAGTGTGTGGCGGTTTTCATAATCTTCATTTCAATTGTGCTCCTTTCTTTGCATCATGTTGCAGACATCGCATCTTGACTGTTACATGTCTTGACGCATGCCAGAGTGTGGCCTTCCTAATACACCTCTGATACCTCTTAATGTCCACTGATAAAAATGACTTCCTTTACACAGGTCCTTGCATGGTAGGTACTTCTTTAAAATGATGAAGCAGACAGCATCTGAAACTTTGTTCTGTTTTCATCTTCTCTGTTTTATTGTAATTTAATTGACAAGACAGTGGATATGTCCAAAGAAAATCCTTCCATGGCAATGCTAACCATTGTTACAAACTTGAGAACTACATAATTGTTCATGTTTACCTTGTATAAATGTGTGTGTTAAAACTTTTTATCAGTTTGTATTCTATTGTCTCATTTTACTATTTTTTTTTCTCCCAGATTTCAGTGTGTGTACCAAGGCACAAGTCATAGCTGTAAAGTAAATCGGCTGCAAGAAATGACAGTGTATAGGTTTCGAATTGCAGCAGCTAATGATGCAGGCCAAGGAGATTTTTCTGAAATTCAGGAATTCAGCACCTGCATTGCACCACCCCCCTCTCTAAAAGGTATCTCATTTGTTCACTATATCTTGATCATCAGAACTACTAACACAAAAACCCACTATTGAATCCACTCCTGAAAACTTACTCAGTCCATTTAACACTACTGAAAGAGAGGTACTTATATGTCTGTCAAGTGCGTGTTGGCTGGTTTTCACCTGATAGCTAGAATGTGGGCAGTAATTCTATGCTTTATTTCTGTATTGTGTGTCATATTAATTTCTCAGGTCAGAAGGCCAGATCTGTAATGGCCAAAATGATGTTAGCATCTTAGCATCCAGTGTTCTGTGTTGAGGATGAGGGGTAGTTGGGGGGGGGGTTTGATCTTATTCTGTGTGCTACAGTCAGCTGAATTATCCAAGCTAATCAAAGGAATAAGATCAATAAATGGTTGAAAGCAACAAATCCAATATATTTTGTTTGTGAATTCTTACAACATGGTACAGATTGCTTTGCCACTATAAGCTCTAGGATTTTCATGGCAGTGATTGTTGAGATTTCGGTCTTCAGGATCATGACATTGTGTAGTCTCTTATATGGGACTACCAACATTTTGGAGGAACATGCTGCCGCTGTCTTGAGGGTTAAAGCGTGCAAAGTGAAATTGATTCATTTACATGGGCATGTTGCAAGGAAGGTGGTGGTCATTGAGACCCACAGGACAGGGTAAGGAAATGAAGCCTAGTGCTGTGCTAGTGGGAATGGTAGCTAGGAGAATGGCTCTTTTGGGGGCCACAATATTGTTTATCATCATAGGAGGGAGTTAGAGAGAACATGGCCTTTTTTTTCAGAGTCACAGTGTTGTTCCCCGTCAAAGGAGCCAGAGCAGAATTGTATTGTGCACTACTCGAAGGAAAGGGAGGTTCTGCCCATGGGAAAAACAGTTACTTTCTCCTCGGGCAACACTCCTCTTTCTGTGTCCATGGAAAAAGGAAAGGGATAGTTTCTCACTTTCCATTCCCAAGAGCCATCTTTTTTCACAATTCTGTTTTCCTTTTGTGATAAAGAACAATACTCTGGCTCTGAAAGGACCGTTCTCCTACCTACATTCTTGATTAGCCCGACTAAGCTCCAGTTTCATATCCGGAGTCTTAAGTTACCATTTTCCTTGCAACCTACATATACAGGGTGACCCAGGAGGAATGGACCAAACTTTGGGAGGGTGTTCCTTATGTTAAAGTATGGCGATATAACCCAAAACACCTATGTCCAAAGTTGAACGGTTATGGAGATAATTGCCAGAGAAGTGTCAAACTTTGACCGGCGTTGCACGCTTGTTGATTACAAAATACATATTAAAACTGGCAGGAATATGTGGATTCTGTAATGTTAATAATGTACGTAACATCAAACTAACTTGTGAGTGACATGAAGCCATAAAATTGAAGTACAGAATACTCGCTCGCCATGTCATAATTGTCCTTAGGGTTTCCAAGCACTATACATGACACAGGCATGGCAAGCGCTGACGTAACATACTGACTGCGCTTTCTGATAAAGCCAACAACATAAGCACGGCTAGGGTGTATCACCGCACTCAAGGACAAACACAGATAAGGCCTCTCAGCTGGGAGGTACAGTGCGTGGACCTGCCAGAAGACCACACTTTTCTTGGGCCATTATCTCCAAAACCGTTCAACTTTGGACATAGGTGTTTTGGGTTATATTGGCATACTTTAACATAAGGAACACCCTCCCGAAGTTTGGTCCATTCCTCCTGGGACACCCTGTATATGCATTTCAACCCAGAAGATGGTTGCAGAATGCTTCTATAAAACTTTGTTGTCTGTCAGCAAGTCTACATGGTGTCAAAATCCAGCAGATGAAATTTTTAATTTAGTTTAATTTTATTTATTTTATGGGGCTTCTCTTTGCAAAAACTCAAATTTTCAATTCACATTTTCTTTATACAAGGAGGTTCTTAACTTTATTGGTCAATTCATGGCTCTGCACTGCACAGCAACTGGTGCACTGCTGGCTGTGAGGTTCATATGAATTTTGCTGATGAATCAGTATGCCTGTTGGCTGATAGTGTTTGGAATGAAGTAGTTACATTTCACAGATCTCAGGAGGTGTTGCAAATGCTGTCCCTCTACACATAGACATTCCTTACTCTGGTGGAAGACGTTCTAATTTACCCTTTGCAGCTGTTCTGCAGGAACATTTGCAATTTCCTGGAACATTTTCTTTTAGTCCTTCTGTTGGGGGGTTAGGGCTGTAAACTTTGTCCTTCAAACAACCCCAGAAGAAAAAATCACAAGGATTAAGATCAAGTAATGTGCTGGCCAAATATCATTGCCGATAGTTCTGTCTCCGAAGACATCGGGACCTGCATAGACATGTGCAGTGTGGGCAGTAGCTGAATTTTGCATAAACCAGCCAGACAGTCTTTCTTCTGTTAACTCTGCAACGAATTGCCCAAGAATGACTTGTACATAGCTTTCATGATTAATTTTTTTGTTAAAAATCCAGGTCCAACAATCCTTCTTGCACTTAAGCACACAAGGCATCAACTTTCACTGGATGGATCCGGACTTTGTGGTTTGGATGCCGATTCTGTGAACTCCAGTAGCATTTATTTAGCATATATATGTATCCCTGCAAGTGAAACCATGTTTCATCAGAAAGGAAGGTCAGTTGCCGATCGATCTTACCTTCTACAACAGACTATAGGAACCAACTGCAAAAATGAACCCTTCTAGCTACATCACAGGGCTGCAAGGCATGGATTGCTGTTGCTTTATAGCGTCTGAGCTGCAGCTGTGTTGCCCTTCTTGCACTAGACTTTGACACTGCAGTCTCTCAAGCTAGATGTGTTCACTGATTTTCTAGGTGTATATTCAAGTATGGCTCCTATATCATCTAACTTTTCTTCAGTAAACATCAGCACTTGTGTTTTTGTTTCTTGTCTATTAAGACTCCCTTTGTGGCCTCCGTAGTCTAGGGGTAACGTTCCCACCTCATGACTTAAGGTACGTGGGTTCAAACCCGGCGGAGGTCGTGGAATTTTTAAGGGCGGAAAAATTCAGGGAACAAGTCCGCCGGGAGGGACTTTAAGCCGTGTGTCCCGTGTCGTAGATTTATGGCACATAAAAGAACCTCATGTCTCTAAGAGACCTCTGAACTAAATTAGGCAAATTGTCGTGCCCAAGTAGTTTCCAATGCCTCCGGTAGATGGGGAAAGTATTAGGTACCACTGCCAGATGAGGACCGACCTCGCTGACAGAAAGGGACTAATTATCAGATACCACTGCCAGTAGATGGCCGACCTCGCTGGCAGAAAGGGGCTGATAATGGGCACCAGTACCGGTAGGGTATGGGGACAGTAGAAATTAAAGGGGGATGCACAATGGACCAATAACTGGTCTAAGTGCATGGGGAAACCCACCTCCTCCAACAGTGAATGAATGAATGAAGACTCCCTTTGATCTAAGTTTATTCACCAAATTGTAAATTGTTTGTCTTCTGGGAACCCTTTGATTGTGAAATTTATGTTGAAACAACACTTCCTAGCAGGTTTGTGTTTCACGTAGGTGTTATACAGAAATACATGTTGCCCTGAAGTATACTGCACCATATCAGAATACACTGGTCACTAATTGTAACTGAGAACAAACAACTAATGGAGCTGATAACGCAGCCCACTGGTGAGAAATCATGAACAAATTCCCATGCAAGAACCGCACTGCTTGCCTTGAAACATAATTCCATCAAGCAGTCCACAAAATTAAGAATTTCCCTTAATTCTGAACTTTATCGGGCATCAGGCATATTGATTCATTGGCAAAATTTGTATGCCCCTTGCAGCTGGCGGCTCATCAGTCACCATGAAATGCAGAGCCATGAGCCGATCAACAAAGGTAAGAACCTCCCTGTAGTTTTTATATCACTGTATTCAGATTTCTGTACCCCTTTGTGACTGGCAGACTGCCAAGTGTTGGCCTTTCTTCAGCTCTGCACACTGGAGAAAGCGAGGAATAGTTGGGCCAAAGTTCTGAAATCAGTGATGCAGAAGTGGGGTCCATACACTCTTTGCCGTGTAAACATTCTGCACCCTGGCATGTGGGGTAATGAATTAATGTATGTTCCCATAGCCATCAAAGGATTATATTCATCTTCGCATGTTGTCATCCAGTTTGCTGACTTCCCTGCCAGTTTTGTTTACATCTCATATCTTCCTCTGTGTTACACACATATTGTCTGTTTTTATTCATTATGTTGATGTTGTATTGAGAAGGTTTTACTTAATTTTCAGCACCAAAAGTCAGTGATATTCAACAAAGGAGCTGTATGATTGAATGGAATTCGTGTAAACCTGTTGGTAGTGACCCAATAATATATCAAGTTCAGCTTTCACGGCTTCGAGACCAAGAGTATAAACTAGTGAGTACTTTCAGTAAGCATTACTGATAAATAAAGTAAAATATCCTTAAATGTTTAATATTTGCTGTGACTCCTGGTTCATTAAGAGTTGTCTCCTTAATTTTGCATCACTAAATAGTGATGAGTATTCTCCATAACTCTGGATGTCATACTTTAATATATTTTGTATGATTGTATTATGCACAGTACCCATGCCGGGGGATCGTCTTTTGTTGTTCCTGTGTTGAAGCTGCTTGGTATCATTTTTCATTTTTATTGGAACATTTTTTTCTACACTGTTTTGTGCTTCTTCATATTTGCTGTTGAGTAGCCTATGTATGTGCATGAAATTATGGTTTTGGTCCTTCCAGGCATGTTGATGCTTCAGAAAACTTTAGGCGCCTTACATTTTTTTGGGAAATTTGCATGTACATATATGAGTACTCTTAATGTCATATACAAAAGATAAACACAAAATAATAATTAAAGTAAAACTAGACTTAATTAAGAAAACTGATTTTTAACTCCTTCATTTTTAGTAAACTGAAATAAGGCCGTGCCATAGCTCAGGTGGTTAGTCGCTGGTTTCCCACCGCGGTGGCCCGGGTTCATTCCTGAGTCTGGTCAAGTGGGATTTGTGGTGGACAAAGTGGCACTGGGGTGGGTTTTCGCCAAGTACTTCAGTTTCCTTGCTAAATTTCATTCCACCAAATTCTCAATCATCATAATCACCCGGGACAGGCTACAATAGACCAATCAGTGGCTGCTGTGCCAAGTGGACCCAGTTTGACTCCACCCCCCACTAAGGGAATTTAAAGAAAAAAACAGAAATAACTTATTCTTACCTGAAGAATATCTTGAAACATTTTTATCCATAAGATAGTATGCATAGCAAAAAACTTGAAGAGTTTAATGATTAAACATTGTGTGTGATGACACCACCGTCCAACAAAATCCAAAAATGTTCCCTCCAGATTTCAATACATTAAGATGTAATTTTTAGTATTGTGGTGCTGATGCCTTTCAAGGAGGAGATGTTGAAGAAGCTTCTTATGTTGCAGGTGTACAGAGGAGCTGAGACCAAAGTGCAACTCAATGACCTCGAATCAGGTGCAGACTACAATGTTAGGGTTTGTCCTGTAAGGCAAGCAGATATCGGAAATTTACCTGGTGCATATTCTCCACCATCAACCTTTTCCACTTTGATGCCAGAGTTAGTGACAACCACAGCTACGAAAACAGCTCTTGTGCAGGTTAGTATAGTGAAAGAAGTTCTGGGAATAACTCCTAATATCTGATTCTCTTGTAAATGATGAGGCTTGTAATAAGTTGAAAATTAGTGAGGAGATGAGTCACAACAGCTTCCCCCCCAAAACAAGTTTTACAGAATTATGTCTCATAATGATACTTATCAACACAAATAAGAACACTTCTCAGTTTATTCCTTACTGTTCTGCAAGTGTCTCCAAAGTAGATATTCTTGTTATTATAAAGCGGCCTCCGTAGTCTAGGGGTAACGTTCCCACCTCATGACTCAAGGTACGCGGGTTCAAACCCAGCGGAGGTCGTGGAATTTTTAAGGGCGGAAAAATTGAGGGAACAAGTCCTCCGGGAGGGACTTTAAGCCGTATGTCCCGTGTCATAGATTTACGGCACGTAAAAGAACCTCATGTCTCTTGGAGACCTCTGAGCTAAATTACAGGCCCTTTCCTGCCCAAGTTGTCTCCAGTGCCTCTGGTGGATAGGGGAAGCATCAAGGTACTGGGGGCCGACCTCATTGGCTCTACGGGGGNTACAAATCACGGCTACAGTTAGTTATAACACAGTTGCAGGTTTCCACACTTTACAAACCCTACAACCAAAGTCTTTACGTACTAATAACGCGGGAGCTATACAAATCTCCCTGAATTGCACACTCCAAATATAACTGTACTACAGCACTCACTAAGTCTCGAAAGCACACAATAAGTCTTCCGCTCGCTGACTTCTTAGTTATCGCACACTCGCAGGATGCTGCCTCGAGAACTGTTGATAACACACTGGCTCTCGCTTGCTGCTCAGCCGGCTTTTATTCCGTTCGCTGTTGCTAGGGTCTCCCGCCACATCACAGTAGGAAGCGGTGCCGCGTCACCGTGTTTGCATATAGCCTAGCAACGCTGTTACCTCGTGCCGTCTTACGTCACCGTGGAGGGGGGAGGGAGCGTTACGTTACCGCCACGTGCCGCTGGGGAGGTAGGGTCCTCCGTTGCGCAACATGTCACAATATTATAAAGTGATTTGACAATGCCATCCAGTGTGACTCAGTATATATTTATATAATGCCTCTACATGTTTCAGGCAGTTGTGACCATCTTCAGAAGGCAGTAGCAACATGTTAAGGAACTACTATTATATAGATTGTAGTACACACACTTAACTTTTGTATAAAAATTTGTAATTAAGTTAAAAGGTGTTTAAGTTGAAAATACATTACTAATGTTCTTAATATTTAAAATTTTAAACTGCTGAGGTTTGTCTCTCTATGCCTCTTCTATTAAAATGGGAGATTGGGGTGTTATTTGCCGTTCTCTGAGGTCTGTGCAGTGTTATTTTTATTTATTTTCTTATTGCTGGTGGGGTGGGACTAAGTCCCTTGTACTGTGGCCACTTCTGGCTTATTGTACCAGCCTCAGATGATGAATGTATGAGGAGTAGGCCTTCTTGGCCCTTGCACCGCGACCTACAGTGGTCTATTGTGCATCAGACCCAGATGATAGGTGAGGGCGATTGTGGAGCAATTGGTGGAATGAAGATTGGCAGGGAAAACTGAAGTACACACGGAGAAAACCTTCCCCAGTGCCACTTTTCCACCACAAATCCCACTTGACCAGACCTGGGCCGATGTGGTGGGAAGCCGGTGACTAACCGCTTGATCCATGGCATGGCCAAGAACCCTTCATATTCTATGAAAGTTGGGGAATTTCATGACTAGCTATGTGACTGTTAGCATATCAGGAAGAAAGTAAGTTGCTTGGATGGCTGGTTGTGGAATGTAGGTACATAATTAACCTATACTACAGCAGTGTTGTTTTTACTCATCATTTTAGGTAACTGAGAGGAAGCCACTGACAGATCAGCAGTGGGCATTGATCATTCTGTGCGGCTTTACTCTATTTGCCGTGCTGACAGCTGTGGTGATGCAGCAAGTGATTCACTGGAGCAAAGCAGCGCCATGAAGGGCTAAAGCGAAGCAACGTATCTCCCATGTTGCATTCACCCCTGATATTCCACATTAACCATGATAGCACATATATTTTTATCTTTATTTTCTTCATGGACCATTTTATATTATTATTATTATTATTATTATTATTATTATTATTATTAACTGCTTTCCAACCAGGGCTTGTTGTACTATTAGTGACAGAGGGAGGGAGAGAGAGAAGCTGAAGGTGTGGGCTTAGAAAGTGTTGGTAAAGTTTATTAAACTAATAGCTACAAATAAACAAGGTACATGGCATTTTTATCCTTTCTGGGCACTCATGTCACTTCCATTTAATTCTTTAACTAAATTCATTCAACTGAATTGTGTTATCATGACATTGCTGTGAGTTGTGACTAAGTGACGAGTGGTGTGTTGTGAACCGTGATTGGTGCTAAGAAGGAACAAACTTCAATGCTTAGCTGTTGTCACCGTATCCAGTGATAAGCAATGAGTCAGTCTTTGGAAGAAGGGTAAAATGTAACTTACAATTTCCAGTTTATAAATGACCATAAGTTATGTAACTGAATTTCATGTGCCACTGTCAAATGTCAATTATATCTCTCATGAAGAACAGACTTCATATAACTTCCAAAATTTTTATAGATTTGTTTTTTCAATTCCATTCACGAAAAGGATCCATGAAATTTGTGCTGGTATACCAATGTTTCCATTTTACCATATATTTTCCATATTCTTTCATCAGACAAAGAACTAACTCTTGGATATTACATAAGGCATACAGCTTTAAGTGTCTTGCTTTTGCTCATATAATGTTGTTTCTACAGTTCCATAGACCATTGTCATTATGTGGTGTGGGTGTGGAACTCTGGTTGCACCTGGCTCATGAGTGGTGGTTCTGTTAATAGCACATGCTCTTAACTTAACCAGTGAACCCAGTGCCTGCTTGAAGTGTATGGTTGATAAAAATGTCAGCATTTTCCTGCAGTATGTTTTGTAATATGGTCAAATTTGACTGTGGTTGTTTACTATTGTTATTATTTGTAAGAATTCAGATTAAATTTTGATATTGTTTCATTATTTGCCGAATGACAGGTGAAGGAGGTGTTGAATGAGATGATTATTATGATTAGTATTTGAGATTTGGATATATCAGGCCTAACTTAATGTTAATATATTTGTGTATGGAAACTATTTTGTTTGCATCTGTCATGTACTAAATTACTTTTTTCATAAAGCATATTTGCCTATGCTGCATGTTTATAGCAGGCAATAATTCCATTATATATTGTCAAAAATATCTTCAAGGGTGCGTCGTCATTGGAAAGTCACTGTATTAAAAGTGTCAGTACTCCAGGATCTTATTTCTGAGGTGATTCCCATTCCTAAGTGTCATATGAACCTGGGTCCAGTTCTCAGTGGTTACAGAAATATGGGTACTTGAAATTCAGGATGATTTGAAAAGCTGTAATTAAATTTTATTAAAAGAAAAGATTAAAGTACAATTCAGTTTAATAAATATTCAAAATGGCCACCTTCAGTTTGGGTGCATAGTCTGACTTGTTTGACCATGGAACATACAACAGAGTATCGCGGTCATTCAAGCATCTCTTCTGTTCATTGTGAGTTCAAATACCGTGTTCTTCATGTAAGAATATGAAATCCAGCAGAGAGATGTCTGCTGACTGGCTGCCAGTTCTGCAGATCATCGCAGTCAACCAGTCAGGGATCTACTATTTCAGGTACAGCATCACACCTGTTGAAAAGTTGGGGTGGTCTGCCATGCTGGAAGTACATCAGTAATTATGTTCGCATAGCGAGTTGGCAATTCATTTTGCAAAAAAAAAAATAGTGTAATTGCCATCTGTTAAGCTTTCCTGTAAGACATATGTCCCAATGAGGTGTTCAATAATACCACACCACACATTTTACAGAAAACTGGTGTTTGATGTGTAATACTACAGTATTCTTTGTAGATTTTCATGGTCCTGCAAATGGGGAGATCCTTCTGGTAGTGATAAATTATGTTTCATCAGTGAATAAACTGGAATGATGCATACATGGGTGTGCAACAAACCAGTGGCAAAAGCCCTGCCTTCTTCGCATGTTCTCACGTTCAAGGTGCTGTATTTGCTAGGTACGTTTTGGATACAGTCCTTTGTTGTGTCATGTTTGCCCGACACTCATATGTGAGACGTGGAGGCAGGCAGAAGTTTCTCAAGTACTAACACATGGATTGTGGTGTGTCGTTTGAATAATATCATCTTCCTCTTCCACACACCAACACATTGAATGTTCAGCAAATGACTCATTCATCTCTGAGCCACTTTCATGCAACTGTTGATGAAATGTACTAAACACAGGTCAGTCTCGGATTGTTTGCTGTGGAAATTGTGCCAGTATTCTTCAACTGCAGCGTCTGTGTTGCCATTGCAAATACTGTATATAAAGTGCATGTATATTGCCTTCTTCATTCAAAAATGTAAATGGCACATTCACAGTTACATTTAATAACACTGTAACAGTCTGATACAATGCACATACCTAACCTGACTATATGCTGCACTAGCTAGAGTACTGCTGATAAGCGCACTTCCATTTGAAAACATCCATGCCTGTTCACACTAAACAGAAAGCATCCATAATTCCAGAACCAATGAGAATGAGACCCATGTCCATATGTCATTTCTGACTGAGAATGACCTCACAAATAAGATCTTTCAAGTACTGGCATGAAGTCACTAGACATTCTGTATTTTCAACATTGTGACTAGACACGGGATTTAGGTTGATAGTTGGATTTATTGAACACTTAACAAATCATTACAGTGTGCTGTAATCACCATTGACCGTTGCTAGGTAGTGGCGTTTCCTCTACTGTTGCATGTAGACTTCACAACAATTCCCTTGCTGCTGCATGTTTATTTGTTGATGTGGAAACATATTTGTTGCTTGTGCAGCAGTGGTTGTCTTCTGGCTTTCATGTTGCATTGCTGCTTCCTTGAGATTGTTAGCCCCATGTAGTCTACAGACATATCGCCATATATTCTTCAAGGGGACATGCCTTTGACATCTGTGATCGTCCTCACCATTGGTACCATTGCACTGACTCCAATGTTTTTTTCCAGTTTCATGGGCACAACTTTTGAAAATGCTGGTGCTCCTGCAGTGCCAGCACGTAAGCTATCAGTAGTCTCTTGTTTCATTTGGGAGGGGATCTATCACTCGTTTTCCAGAACCTCGTGGAGTGTTATCTCACCTCCAGAAGTAACTGCCATTTTAGGCTTCATTCTCTTAAGCCATGGATGAATGCTTTGCCTGTTCCCATATTAACGTGGTCCTCTTGTAGTGTCGGAAAGGCATTCATGCAGGGACTCACCATCGTCTTGGTCTGCATTTTCAGCAGTGTGTGATAGGCTACAACCAGGTGCTGGTCCCCATATTGGTTCTCAGGTGCCCCATTAGTTTCACTGCACATCGCTCTTTTAGGATCTCCACGTAGAACATTGGAAGCCTGGTCCACTGGGCCATTAAGGTGAGTGGCTTTTACATTTGGTGTCTCTTTATAGTGCTCCACTATGGCCTCTATCTTTTATTGATTGGCCTCCAACTTTTTGTGGCTGGCCCTCGCTGTGGCCTTCATTTCTTCAGGCCAGCCTTAATTTTGGCTGTCATTTGTTCCCGACTGGCCTTTATTGTGACCTCTTGTCTTTTTGAGGTAGGATTTGCCTGTTATAGGCAGACCTCCATCTTTTCTAGGTTGATATCCATCTGAAAGTTGAGAGAACCCATCTGGGCTTTCATCTCCTTGTGACTGGGTCTCGTTTCATTTCTTGAGTGGGTTTGATACATGCTGTGACATTTAACAAGAGTCCTGAGTTCGTCATAGTTATCACGTGTTAGTGACTGGGCACGGGGTTTGGATTGATAATTGGATTTAGTAAACATTTATAACCCGTAACTGCAAGTAATTAACACATTTCTGCTAATTCATCATACCAGAGATATCATTGAACACACAGGACTTTACTTCAAGGTTCCCTGTCAAAGTGGCATGTACCCTGAAAGGTATTGTAGACAGCAGCGGCAGCATCACCACCTAACATGCATTCGTGTGAAGTATGATGAATTTTCATTACTTGTAAGGCCATCTGAAAGTATAGGGCAGAACTGACAAATGAAGGCTATGAAACACACTTTCCCACTCACTTCCAATCGGTGCCAAGGTCAAGTACATGTGGCTCTATACATCTACTTCCCCGTGTGTATTCATGACACAGTGCTTAATTACTTACATGCACGGACAACTTCATGGTTCTCCCTTCTCTACAAGTGCTTGCTAGCCTTATCTTTTGACCAGAGCCAATTTTTGCCTTTTGCTTCATTTTATTTGTAACAACCTGTATGTATTTACATAATATTTAATTTTAATTGAAATATGGCATTGCCATGCCGTTAAATAATACCATATAGTGCTGATGCAGTCTGTTAGGAACTGTGTGGATTTAATTGCATCATAAGTAATAGACTACAGATGTCTGAATATTCATAATTAATGTTTATCCAGCCTTTTTATAGTATTGGCAGGTTATTTTTGCATCTTACACCATAATAAATTTTCTTCCTTTCTTGGGGTTATGGGACGTGTTCAAGTATTCTGCTCTGTTTTAAAACATGTTATGAGACAGGTATTGTCTGTGGTGCTAAATCTCTATTGCCAGTGTACCTAATAATTTAATAGTGTGGTAATGAATTCTATCGGCTATAAGCAAGGAGCATGAAACAATTGTATTTTTAATATGACATGAAGAATGTGATTGATTTTTAGGTATAACCTTCATAAATTGGACATAAGATTACATTTGTTTCCATGTGTATGTTGTGTATGAACATTGTAAATTTGTAGGTATGCCTTAATTTAACGGGGCTAAAAGTGACTCATTATGTTCTGTACATTCTGCAGTGTATTGTCTTTGTTCCTCAAAGCAGCATTATATTGTGATGGTGGGTTACCTAGGTTTTCAGGTATCCCTCCCACAATAATGGCATTGCCTGTCAGAAGTAAGGTTTGATTTGTACATAATTACTAGATCTATAATAAATATATATATAATATATATGGTTACAAAGGTATTAAATTATTTCAGTGAAATTTATAGTAAATTAGTTTATTACTGGATCATATTATTGTATGTAATCATTTTTCAAGGAAAGAAAAATTGAAGAAATTGTATCATGGTTGGAAAGCAGAATATTTCATACTGTTATTTTGTGCTTATGTAATAATGAACATTATACATTATTTTTATTGTTGTTACAATTGCATTTCCTATATAAATACTGGCTGAATTATTATTATTGTTATTTTTAGTATTTTATTATTTTACTACTACTACTACTACTACTCTGATCGTGATTCTTGCTGCTGCTTCTGCTAATACCAGTGCATAATATGCAGTAGACTTTTCATTAGTTTCAGTTTTCTTGACTGCCTCTGTGGTCTAGTGGTCAGAGTTCGGCTACAGGTCCAGAGGTCTCAGGTTCGATTCCCTGCGATACCAGATTTTCTGAGAAGTAGCGGGTCTGGAACGGGGTCCACTCAGCCTCATGAGGATAACTGAGGAGCTACTTGAATGGAAAAGTAGCGGCTCCGGTCTATAAAACCGAAAATAAACGACTGTGAGGATTCGTTGCGCTGACCACATGACACCCTCTATCTGCTAAAGTTGGCACTAATTTCGCTGACAAGTAGCGGTTGCTCGGTCGGTATAGTTTGCCTGCAGATAAAGCCACGGATTATTTTTCCAATTTTCTTACCTGTTATTTCCCCTACACTAGTCCCTTGTGTTGGCATTTCAAGGACCTTCTTGACATACACATTTAAATTAATAGTGGTGGGAGTTATTTTTCAGTGCATGATCCACAAAGCAGGCGTTGAATATTCAGAGAATAAGATTTTGGATGTCTTTTGATTACAATGTGATATAATAAAGGTTACATTTTGAGTTTACTAGTTTATCTTGATGTTGACGAGAACACATACAATCTTCATGTGTGAGGCAGATTCAGTATTCCAGCATGAAGGAATTAAGAATAAAGCATGAAATTGTTGTAATTGTATGAACATTGCAAATGTTTCCATGAATATTAACACTCTTGAATTTCATGTAATGGTTAGAAGTATAAAATTTATATGAAATTCTCTACTTTACAAGTTTTATGTATGTTACTAACAGAGATAGATCTGCACATTTCTGCTTCCAAAATCAGGAAGGCTGATATATGTCATTTTGTCGGGCTCTGAAGTATGATACAGTAAGGTAAACAATGCCAAGACCCAACATACAAAACAGTTCAGAACTCTTAAAAGCATATGAAATATTAAAGTCCACTTTAATCTCCACTGAATGCAATATTTACATTAAAACTGTGGGATTGCCATTCACATCAAAACTCTATCCTGTGACTTTAAAACTTTACGTATTCGTGACTACTAGGTCTGACAGTAAAGTTCACGAACTCACCATGTGCTTGCCATGGTAGCAGTGGACAGAAACCTCATTATGGTTTGATGACACTGGCATATCAGCATTTCACAGCTGTGTTGTTCTATGGCATTCTCTTTCTGAGTGGCATCTGTTACTGTCTGAATGTGTTTTGATGTGTCATTGCGAGAATCTCACAGCTTAAAGCAGAGCAACAAATGAACATTAATTCTTGTTCAACTTGGCAAAGAGTGGAAGCGAATTCAGAGAGATGTTAGTACAAGTTTACAGGGATAATGCTATGAAGAAAACAGCAGTTTACAAGTGGGTGGCACGTTTTTCTGAGGAAGGAGAAAGTGTCACTGATGAAGAGAGGTCAGGACAGCCAGCTATGAGCAGAACTGAAGAAAACATTGCAAAAATTCTTAAAATTGTGCGTGAAACTCGATGGGTGACTGTCAGGAGCATGGCAGAGCAAGCAAACATCCACAGAGAAACAGCTAGGAAAATCTTAACTGAATATTTTGACATGAGGAAGGTGTGTGCAAAAATGATCCCAAAGGACCTGCCTACGCGGCGCTGTACGTGAGGGAGTTTTTAGCTAGTAAACAAATAGCTGCTGGAACACCCTCCCTATTCGCTGGATCTAGCTGCAATGACTCTTTTTCTGTTCCTGAAGATAAAGGAAATATTGAACGGAAGGCATTTTGGTCACATTGATGACATCAGGAGTAATACAGCAGCAGCTCTGAAGTCAATTCCACAAAACCAGTTCCAAAATTGTTTTGAAGGGTGGCATTGGTGCATATCTTCCCAAAGGGGAGTACTTTGAAGGCAACTGCAGTGATATTCAGCAATGAGGTGTGTAGCACTTCTACTGCGATGAGTTCACAAACCTTACGGTCAGACCACGTATGCATGCTTTGTTAGAAATACAGAGTTCTTCATGTCAGTTGGCTGTGTAAAACAAGAGCATCTTTTTGTTTCATAGATAAGATCTGTAATCATTGTATGAGGTTTTGATGATATGGCTCTGAGTGTTAAGCTTATGGTCTTTTGCGATGTGATTTGTGTAGTTTTATGCAATGGTAAATGGATGGCAATGTTTTGAAGGAATGTCCTGCTTCCATATTCATGGTAGGTGACTAACAACTTGATGATGGTGGCGGCATATTCATCTTAAATAACAGTACCTATTTACTGAACTACACGACATTACATTCCAAAAACACAATCATTGCTTGCTTTGCCACAGGTAACAGTAGCAATGTGGTGTCAAAATTCCATCATGGAATTTCTTCATTGTCCTGCAATTATAATATGCTGAATCTGTGGCTAGGTTTTGTGGCATAATTTTTGGTGTCCATGGCAGAGTTGCTTGCAGAAAGTTTTCTTGAACAATATCAGTGATGACACTGTCAATTTGGTGTATATGAAAATGTCTCATCAGAATCTTTGACATGGGTTTGGAAAAGCCCATTGGGATTGTAATGCATTGTATTGGTAGGTATCTCATGTGGGCCACCAGGATTTTTTCAAAAAGGAGCAGTCAGAAAATTTCCCTACATACTTATATTTAAGCCATTGAAGACTGTGCTTACTGATGGCACTGGAGTGTTCAAGATTGAATTGAAGCTTTTTGCATGACTGCATCTTAGAATTGGGCATCACTTCCTACTTAGCTTCAAGTTCATCCAACGCCATTTTTACAAATCATTCGAAGCCAAGTAACTTCAGTAATCGATACAGCATCGTTTAATAGTCCAACGTCATACTGTACAAGCTGATAACTATTCGCCCGTTTTGCAGTAATAATGAGCTATTCATTTGTACCTTGAAAATGAATCATCAAAACAACATTAATACGTTTTCACGCTAGATTAAAATGTGTAGTGCTGGAGAAAATGCAGCAGAAACTTGAATGGAACCTGAAAGATGCTAAACTTCCTCACAAGTCATTATTTCAATAACATAAATGTACATAAACAGACTTCTTTTTGGAACACCGATTACCCCGATTACCAACATAACCAATATCACACACTGCTCCTCTAGTGTCCTCTAGTTAGTAACGCATTTCAGTCCTAATCGGTTGTACACGACGTGAGGCGGGATAGCTATAGAAGCCTGACCAAAACATTTGTCGAAATACGATATACCCTAAAGAACCTAATGAAGCATTCTCTGTTAATCTGTTCTTTCATCGGAGCACTGGCCTGCCTGGACCTGTCTTCCAGTGAACCACGGATGAAATAATCCGAGTTCAACTCATTGTCCAATTGTATTGACCATACTGACCCTATGATTACGAGTTCAGAGGCTGACTGATCAGATCGTTCAGATTGGTTCAGATTGTTGTCTCCCGGGTTGTGACACCGTGTAGTCTTGTAAGACTTGTAGTCTGTAACAGTGTCACAGCCGTCACAGCGGTCACAGTCACGGGCCACAACCGAGAGGACCGCAGGAGACCGGAATCTAAAGACCCTAAAGACATCGATTATTTTTGGTTTCGATACTTCGACGAGTTAATGTCTCACAAGCTCACAAGTAACGGGCTGCAATTCAGAACGTTCGCGTTGATTGATGAGGGTTTGTGCATGTAATTCTGTCGAATATAAACGTAGAATTACAGCTACTTTACGAGTGATACATAAGAATAAATGCTATGAGTAACTGGACAATTTATTTATAAATGTCGGTCTAAATCTTATTATTTATTGGAGAAGTACGTCTATAATTAAGCAAATGTTGGATAGCAGGATTTGTATGAGCTGTGTATATATTGTCGTTAGCTTAATTGTTAATTTATGTGAAAATTATCACTGATCATCATGGATGTTGATTCACCTGTAAGTTTGAAACGATCTAGCAGTGCACCAATGATAAACGAACTAAATACAACCATGACAACAGCATCCACATCGTCGACAAGGTAAATTTTGACTTAAGTCACTGTCACAAGTAAACATTATTATATGTATTCATTTGTGGTTTATTTAATGTCAGTAGTTCGGACGATGTAATGTGATAAAGATAATTTTGATAGTACAAAATTCATGAAGTACGGGGAAAATGCATGTAATATTTTATGTCCATATGAGATATACAAGGAGGTTATTTCAGATCCACAAATCATTCGGTCATTCAGCCGGAGTATCTTGCGATACCCGCCTCAAATCGGCTCAAACAAGAGAACTCAGCATGGTCAGCAATCCAATGGCTTATATATATGAGGAATGAGTTACACGAATTATGTGAGATTCTGGAAATACTTTTCATTATTTCACTGCAGTCTTAGTACCTTTGCAGAAGTTTACACTCATTTGTTCTTGGGAAACAGAATAAGCTTCCCTTTCTGCTGACACTTTTCAATGACTATTGTGTAGGGTGTTATGAGATATTTTTAAGGAGAGAGTCGGGTTAAGTACCAATTTCATGTGATTTCTCTGTAGTGTGCACTCGTTTTGATTCAGTTCCTTTTTATTTTTTTTTTGTCTAATAATGATACTGTCTGTATTCATTTATGACTACATGGATATTTTTTATGTGGAACTGCAACATGCTGAAATTTATCCCAGAATCTTCATACTTTTCTTACACAACCACTTTTCAAATAGACATACATGAACACACACATGGCCTTTGAGCATAGGAAATAACAACCATGACTCATCACACAGGTTAAATACAGTAGCAGTAGCAATGTAAGGTTTGGAATTTACATAGTGACTAGACTACAGGCTGGACAGCTGAGGAGTTGGAGTATGATTCCTGGCAGGAGTAGAGTTTTTCTTCTCCATAACATCCAGATGGCTCTGGGACCCACCCAGCTTCCTGTACAGTAGGTACTGGGGCTGTTTCCCTGAGGCATGAAGTAGCAGGAGCGTAAAGCTGATCACTCACCCTTTCTAGTGCCAAAGTTAAGAACGGTGACACCATACTTCCACTCCCTCATACGTGACCTGACAGTAAAGTTTGCGAACTCATCATGGTAAAAGTGCTACATACCTCATTGCTGAATATCACTGTGGTCACCTTCAAAGTATTCCCCTTGGGAAGCTATGTGCCAATGCCATCACTAGGCCACCCTTCAAAACAATTTAGGAACTGGTTTTGTGGAATGGCCTTCAGAGCTACCATCATATTACTCCTGATTTCATCATTGTCATCAAAATACCTTCCTTTCAATATTTCCTTTATCTTCAGGAACAGAGAAAGGTAACTGTGGGCTAGATCCAGTGAATAGGGAGGGTGGTCCAGCACAGTTATTTGTTTATTAGCTATAAACTCCCTCACAGACAGTGTTCTTTGGTGAGCTCCATTGAGACCATTTTTGCAAAAACCTTTCTCATGTCAAGATCATCAGTTAAGGTTTTCCTAATTGTTTCTTTGTCAATGTTTGATTGCTCGTCTATATTCCTGACAGTCAGCCAATGATTTTCACACACAGTTTGACAAACTTTTGAAATGTTTTCTTCAGTTCTGCTTCTTGCTGGCCGTCTTGATCTCTCTTCATCAGTGACACTTTCTCTTCAATCAGAAAAACATGTCACCCACTTGTAAACTGCTGTCTCCTCATAACATTATCCCCATAAACTTGCACTAATATCTGACTGAATTTGCTTCCACTCTTGCCAAGTTTAACAAGAAATTTAATGTTCATTCATTGCTCTAATTCAAGCTCCAACATTCTCACAACGGCACACCAAAACAGACTCAGACAGTAATAGATGGCACTCAGAAAGATACTGCCGTAGATCAACAACAGCACATGTGTGAAACACTTACATGCCAACGTCATCAAACCATCCTGAGGTTTCTGCCCACTTCTGCCTCGGCAAGCACACAGTGGGAAGTTCACGAACTTTATTGTCAGACCTTGTATGTCTTCCAGTGTGGTGCTTAATTACTTAAACCCAGGTAAAATTTTACCTTCTACATTACCAGCACGTAATGCATAAGCCTTCTTCATTCTAGCTGACCAATGATTTTCTGGGTAATACTGAATAGAAATTGTAATGTATGTAGATTATTGATATGTCAACCATGTCATGACTCAGATGTATGTGAACTTAACATCACCCACATGCACACACTCTAATCATGCAAGAATTGAATTAACAGCAGTGGTTAACCACCGTGAAAGCCTGAAGTCAGTAGGAGAATAGATATAATTTAAATAAATTTATGTTGTGTATGTTTAGGCATCTCACTCTTCTGGTATATTGCATATGGAGGCAGTAGATAGTGAAATAGGCTTACCACATTGAACCCGTGTGGTCATTTTTAACATGAGTATAATAGATGATGTTGACATTAAGTGAAAATACAGAAACCATGAACGGTAACATAAAAGTATTAAGGGAAATGGTATGGGTATAATGCATTAAACATGTGTATGTGTATGCTTACAATCAGAATGTAACAGACAACAAAATGAGTGAAGTGTAGACAAACCTGGCTGAATTAGAATGATTCCTCCAATCTTATACAATTCTGACCATTTTGGCATGATCACCGAAAATTCATATAAAATGGAAAGGCTAAATGTAACAAAAACCATTCTGACCTCTAAAATCCACTGAACTACAGTATTATTGAAGAACGCAGTCGTCTGGGATTTGGCACCATGTATATGTGGTGTTAACCGACGTTTCGGAGGAACGTATCGCCCCCATCTTCAGGGTAGAAGGAAAAATATAAGAAATCTGCAAGCGAAGAGACCGTGAGAACCGGTAAAAGCAGACTCTTCGCTTGCGGGTTTCTTATATTTTTCCTTCTACCCTGAAGATGGAGGCGATACGTTCCTCCGAAACGTCGGTTAACACCACATATACATGGTGCCAAATCCCAGACGACTGCGTTCTTCAATAATACTGTAGTTCAGTGGATTTTAGAGGTCAGAATGGTTTTTGTTACATTTAGCCTTTCCATTNATGGGTACTGTATCCTACACAAACCCCTTTAATATGTGCAACAGATCTTTGGCTGACCAAAAAGATATAGAATAATATATCTTTGAATGTTGGGTGGAGCTGCAGGAAATGTTGGTGAGGCTCTGCTTTGTATAAGAACATGTAAAGAATAAAATGTGCTAGAATGATCCTTGAAAGGTTGTGTCAGTGGTAACATGTCTGACTTGTATTTGGGGAGTAAAGGTGAAATAATGTCCCTGTACTTCATCACCTTGCCTTGAAGGTTTATGGGGTAATGGAAATAAGGCTTCACACATTCTTAACTTAAGCAGTAGAAGGAGGTGAATGAATAGATGTGTATTCTGTCCTTTTTATCCTTGGGGAAGGAGGTTCCAGTATCCATTGGGTAGGTTGGCTCACTCCCAGAACTGATCTGGCTCTGGTAGTAAAGAAAAAAGTTGTGTCCCTGCTGATTGTCTGGCCTGTAGCCAGTAGCTCATTTGGAACATACCAACTGAGCACCTGTCAACTTTTCACAGAAGACCAGCACCATGGACTTAGTTAGGCAATGGACTACATCTGAAGCCAGTTCAAACCAATTCATCAGAGCCAGTTTCTCCAAAAACTATTTTTAGTATAATCTTTCTGCATTGATCTTTAAAGTTACACCTTTCCAAGAGGTAGGCCAGTTATTACAAAATCTCTTCAGTAAAATCTGCTTGTAATGGAATCCCAAATTCCAGAATTCTGGCTTTTAGCCCTCATGTCACAATACCTTTACATTTTGAGCCACTATCCCAGAAGATTAAACTGGACTTCGAATGGACAATAAAATGTGAAAATTAATGTGGGCTGCGTCCGGGACAGCATAGTCATCATAGCGACTGGCTACAGGTTACGACCGGGGGATCGGAATTTAAGTCCTGGTGGGGTCAAGAATTTTTCTCTTCTCCGCATCGTCCAGACCATCTCTGGGGCCCACCCAGAATCCTGTAAAATGGGTACCAGGGGCTCTTTCCCCCGGGTGCGGGGTAGTAAAGCGGTAGGGGCACGAAGCTGGCCAAGCTGGCCACTCACCTCAAACTAGTTCCAAGGTCAAGAAAATGAGGCTCTATACATCTACTCTCCCATACGCCTTCATGGCATAGCTCTTAATTAGTTAATCATAGGGTAAACTTTACTTTTTACTTGTTTGTAACATGTGGGCTAATAATTTTTCCAATTTTGAAGATGGGTGTGATATAATGCCACCTAAAGTCAACACATTCTTCGTCAGCAGTCAGTATTAATGTTTTTTTTTTTGACAATTATTTTTTCGTACATAACGTTCAGAAGCATAATTTGGAATATTATATTAACAGAAAATAATAAAAATAAATCATATATATATGATTTATTGTATTTATTTTTATTGTTTTCTGTTCACATAATATTCTAAATTATGCTTCTGGAGGTTATATAAGAAAAATAATTGTCAAAAAAACATTAATACTATTTGTTGAGGCACTATGCTACATGATTTTTTTTCAATTTACTCAATCCTTCCAGCTGCACCGTGACCCTGGGGTCGACTCAGCCTCAAACAGAAATGAGTACCAGGAATATTCTTGGAATGTTCTTGGGTGTAAAGGGCAGCCAGCACGTAGGGCTGACACCCTTGCCGCCATCTACCTGCCGATTGTCTAGAAAATGTGGGAACCTCAACATCTCACAACCCTATGGGCCTCCATGGCCTGTTACAGGGATACCTTTACTTTTTTATATATACAGAGGGGTACAAGAAAATGTACTCAGTCTTTGATAGTCAGTATCTTTGGAACAAAATGACATGTAGTTACAATTCTTGCATGGAGAGAGAGAGAGAGAGAGAGTCATTGTATGTGTTCGAAGTGACCACCATCAGCGGCTAAACACCGTCGATGCTGCTGAACAGCTGAGCGAACTAAGGCTGTCAGTGTTTCCGGTGTGATGGCTGCAAATGATGCTTCGATGGTTTCTCATAGTGCGTTCAGTGTAACTGGCTTTTGTCGATAAACTTCAATCTTCAAGTTTCCCCATAGGTAGAAGTCGAGAGGTGTTAGGTCTGGAGACCGTAGTGGGTACTCCATAGCACCTCTTCGACCTATCCATTGTCCAGGTAGAGTGTCATCCAAGTACGCCCTGACATGTCAATGGTAGTGAGGTGGAGCACCATCTTTGCAGACTTCAGAATTCGTCATACACTTGATCGGCTTACCCCGCTTTCACGTGCACACTGATTCACAGATTTTTGCAGTGATCGTGTAAAGTGTTGCAACACCATAGCACTGGAAGCTGGATTTGTTACTATCCGTGGTCGCCCACATCTTTGCTTATGTACATCATGAACAGTACCGTCTGCTTCAGATTTATCCCAAATACGAGCAATTGTTCAACGTGTTGGTGGCTGAGTTCCAAACTAATTCTGCCATTGTTGTTGTACCTCTTTAATGTTTTCATACTACCAGTACCACTTCAATACAGCCTTGGGTTGCTCAAAGAACAACCTTTCAGCCATTGCTGCTGTCTTCTGCTCACAGCGCGCACGTAGCGCGACACTCACGTGACTCATGTGACCTTCGCCATCTGTTGAGAAAACATTACACTACACTGCTGCGCAAGAATTGTAACTACATGTCATTTTGTTCCAAAGATATTGACTATCAAAGAGTGAGTACAGTTTTTTGGACCCCCATATATATGGTTCTTTTTGCTCCCATAGGCATGTTGAAACATCTTTTGTTACAGTGGTATAGGAACTAAAGACTCTCCCACATTATTTGTAGCATATGTCCCTGATGGCAGATGATTAGTGTCTTAAAAAAAAAATTTTTTTCTGTGACTTAGTTTTCTCTAAAGATATTTTTTCTTTAAACAATTTTGAGTGAACTATAGGAGCTGCATGGTTCTGCCATTGTGTAGTGTTTCATACCTTGATTACCTTAAATTATGAAGATTACAGTCTTCTGAGGTGGCATGCTGTATACTCTGGTAGATGTTTACTGCCTCCATCTGCCCTAAAGAGCAGAAGTAACACATGTAACATTCAGGAGGGTTGTCTGGTTTGAATCATCAATTACTGGGGAGAATCAAATTCAAATACTAGGAACTTAACTTTCTTCTGTTACTTTGAAGAATAAGGGACAGGTTGATGTAGCAATGAAGCACTAGAATTGTATTCAGAAATGTGTGGTGTGAATCTTAACAAGTTTACTGGCTTTCCTTCCCGAGGTTTATCATGTTTTTTCTCAGGCTGTCCAGGTAAATGACTGCTTTCTAATACCTGCTTACTATTCATGAGCCTTATCCAATCTCATTTGACACTATATCTTCAGTTGAAATAGCATTATTAAATAACCAAAGAATAAAGTTAAAGTACACCATTCTAAATTTCCAGACACTGGAAATTCAAATTGGTAAACTTACAGCTATGAGTTTTGTCAAGAAGAAACTATACTTGAAGACAACAGTTGATTGCACTATGATATTTTTACATTTTAAGTAAGTGTATGAAAATTATTTTGAAACTTGCATGTACTGAATAATATGCAAGTTCAGACCTTCTTGCATGTGCAGCCAACTTTCAATAATGATATTGCAGAAATTATATAATTTTAATTTTCATTTTAGGGACACTTTGTCATTCAGCATATTTCCAGGAGGCCAGCCTAGGGCCCGCAGGTTCAGCGCAAGCTTCAGTCCAATTCACAACACAGGAGTAAGCATTTCTTTTAAAATATACACACTAGACCCACATTTTACATATATCAACAGAAAAACATTCCAGATGTCAGTCACTTGTATATATCTGTTGAGATGTGCAGACTGAATCAACATAGGTACATGTAGCTTTGGTTCGCTTGTTCTCCCTCAGTCTCAGTGTAGCCATTTTGATAGCAATATCTCTGCTTAATTAATGAAGCACCATGTCATGAAGACGTTAGGAGTGAAGGTGTATAGCTCCACCATTCTTGACCTTGGCATGAGATGGATGCGAGTAGTGAGCTTTACCCCCAGGCAGTGAGCCCCTGGTACCCTTGGGATAGGAGGCCGGGTGGACCTCAGAGCTGGTCTGGACACTGAAGAACAAAAAGAAAAAAAAAAGGATCTGTTGCTCCTGCCAGGAAACAAACCTCTGCCATCCAGTACAGTAACCCCTTACTCTTCATTAAATTGTCAAGATAAGTTGTGGAAGGCCTAACCATGCTTCAGCAAGTGCAGAAAATAAGAGAAAACTTATGACTTTGGAACATACACCTGAATCTGTGAAGAGATATAAAAGAGGAGGTGATAAAACAAAGGAAACCAGTCATGTTATAGGGCTCAGCAAGTCAGCTCCCCCGTATGGTTAGAGACAATGTGGAGAAAATTAAAAGAGTTCTGCAAGAATGCTACACATTTATTTACTGACCATGTTTCATTAACAGGGTTGGTTATCATGAAGAGAATGGAACCCCTGTTGACATCATTGATTGAGCATAAGAACCAAGACCATGTGCCACTTTTGACCCAGGTGATCGAAGGAAAGGCACCCACCATTTATTAAATGATAAAACATGGTAGTCCTGATAAAAGTGTAAAGCATTCCATGGATTTTATACTGTCAAATTGACTGGTAAATCAGCATCTGGAGATGAAGTACTGCAGATGAATTTTATTCCGTCCTGCAGGCTTCCATCGAAGAGGAAAGCCTCAGTTAAAGGCAAGTTTTCAAGTTGGATGGAACCAGACTTTACTGGAAATGGGATGTGAAGTCAGATAATTCCCTTAGTCAATGAGAAAACCACACCAGGGTTCAAGGCTACAATAAACATTAGTGCATACTTTTACTTAGAACAAAACCAGATGCCGACTTTAAGCTGAAACCATTGATGGTCTACAACACCAAGCACTTAACGATTATTCTAAGTGATACCCATCTGTTCATTTGGTAGTTATTCAGAAAGGATGATTTACAGGATCCATTGTCTGAAGGATATTTTTCCTGCATGCTGCATTTGGAATGGGTTTGTTTATTGTGGGAGATAAAATCTGGGGATCAAGATTCTAATGCTTCTTGGTAATTCCCTAGGATGTCCCTCCCAAAGTCTTGATGACTCCAGTGAGAACATTAAACTCCTATACTTGCCATCATATGTAATGTCACTCACCCAGCCCATGGGTCAGAACTTTCAAACCTTCAGCACAGACATTTAAGTATCACAATTCTGAGTGGCCTATGGTAATATTTTTAAATGCTGATTTAATTTTTTCTCTAAAATAATTTATTTTCACAACTTTTGAATTACACAAGGTATAATAATAATTTTTCTCTGAAATCCTTTGAAAAGATAGATTTATAAGCTTACCTTATAACATGATCATTATATTATGTATTGTTTCATTGGGTAGTTTCTTGAATAGTGTAATGTGTTTCATTACTGAATACGCCGTAGAGATCGTTAATTGGTTTATTTAACAACCTACTAGTAACGGCTACAATTAATTATACCACAGTTGCGAGGTTTCACACTTTATAACCCTAATCGCAATAATCTGTTCACACTGTTGCGGGGTTTCACGATTTATAACCCTATTCACAAATCAGTTCACTCTATCTTCAGTAGGCTACACGTATTCACAGTACGGGAGCTATACAAGTTTCTCCGTCTCACACACTCCCAATTACACAATTACACACATGTCCGGTTCTTCTTTCCGCGACGGCTGCTATATTCCAACTCAACTCGCAGGCTGCTACCTTGAGAACTGTTGATAACACACTCGCTCGACTACTATTGAACTCGGCGATGTCCTCATTTCAACTGACTCGTAGCTGCTATGCAGTTCCCTTATACAGCCGCAGTGGTGCTTGTTGAGTGCCATGTCACAGTAGGAAGCGATGCCGCGTCACCGTGTTTGCGTATAGCCTAGCAACGCTGTTACCTCACGCCATCTTACGTCACCGCGTGTTGCGCGTTACGTTACCGTGCGGAGGGGGGGAGGGGAGCGCTGACTCATCTGCCACGTCACTGTGGCCTGAGTTGCCACGTTGCTGCTGGGTAGGGAGGGGTTCTCTGTTGCGCAACATGTCACACTAATTTTGAATACCATTTAGTACCTTCTTTTCATTCCAGAAAGTGTGGCTTGATACTTCATACCTAGCCTTAACATGTTGACATTATAATCACATATAACTACAGTATTTGTTTCTTGACAGTTCACTTTATTTATAGCCACACACAGTTCATCTTTGTGGTGTGTAGATATGATAGACACTTGTTTCATTTTGCCATGCAAGAGCTACCACATCTGACTGCTGACCACAGTACTCTCCATTCTTCAATTGCTCTTCTTCACCACAGGAGGAACATTTTTTCCTGTTACACATAACTTCAAACAGTATTTTTCTTTTCTTTCGAACTCCATGGACCAAGCCCACTCTGAATTATGAAAAGCAGTCAGTCATACAGTGTATCTATTACCAGGAAGATTTTATTACAGTTTTGTGACAGTTACTGTAGTTTTGTTTGTTTCTGCACTCACAGACTGATTCTGTAGTTCTTGGCTTGTCCAGTGTAAACAAGAAAGATCAAACATAGCTGGAGCAGGACACACAGAGTTCATGTGTCCTCTGCAGCTTTGCAGCCTTGAGGTGTATGTATTGTCTGAAAGACCCATGATGACCTTTCCATAGAGTCAAGGACTTGTCATAATGTTCTGGTTCAGAAGATACAGATTTTTGGACTTGCTATTTTGTTGCCGAATGACGTGAAACGTTTTGAAAAGTTTGGGAAGTCCTTGAAATTCATATTGCTTACTGTTATTAGGCAGGTGCATGAATTTTATCCTCATGTACAGTATTTCCAGACATAAGGTCTCAGAAAAATTGAGTTGTAGGCAGTTTAGTAGTACTGTCACATGTTAATGACTGGACATGCAGTTTGGATTGAAAATTGGATTTATTGAACGTTGTAACTTGTAATTACAACTAACTATAATGCCTTCACTAATCTACACACTCTACGAATCAGTGTAGTACGCATAAAATTTTCTTTGTCTTCACTAGACATTGCAAGCCAGTGGCTGCTAACAAGGTAGATTCCTCTTCATCCAGGTTTACGTTCTTACTTGTTTGTGGTTGTCTTGCAACTGACTGCTGACTGACTCACCTGTGGTCCTCATTATATAGCCTTGGCATGGACCACATAGAAAACACCATGTCCCACAGCCCTTCTATTGTTGTGTGTGTATCCATAGCCACTGGAGCATGATTATCAGGCCATTGCCTAGTAATGACTGCCTCTTGTGGCTGACAAATTGATCAGTAATGCAAGTGTCAAGATGGCCAAAAATGTGAGTTTTTGGTGGGCTGACAAGAAAAATTCAGCCAAGCTGTCAGGAACTCTAGGATGTTTTTTTTAACGTGGTAAGGAAGGGCATGAAGAGGAAGAGCCCAAAATCTCATGAAAGGCATGGTTGACCCAATCAAAACTAGATGGCTACCCAGCTATCTTTGTTGAAAATGAGCCCAGTCATGAAAGAGCATGATGAGAGAAACCAGTGCTTACTGCCAGGAACTTAACATGTAGAAGCAAGGCTGTTTGGGGAATTTTTCATTGGACAAGTTCTTCCAGAAGCAGCACAGTACCTTCTCTACCCCATTGATTCCCAAGTCTTTCACCCCAATTCAAGAGAGATTACCACCTTTTCATACCCCAAACCTGGATGAAGAGGGGACTTTGTGTTGATGAATTGATTGAAGATTGTGTATGCCTGTTTTGTACTTTGTATACATTTAGTAGAATGTAATTGAATACATCACTGCTTACAATATGTTTTATAACATAATAACTGAAGAATGAACTATACCTGTTAAAAGAAGTTGTTTTTTTTACCTTTGATGTCATAAATGTGAGGTCAGAGGAGTGGAACCCCTCTCTTTTCTGTTATTTGTTATGGGAGAATTCTTTTTGAATCCCATGAATTATATGGCATATGCATGGTTTCTCAGGAATGCAATATTGATGTAAAATGATGGTCTGTTCTACAGTTCACTGAAGTATGTTTTGAAAATGACAGTGAATGATGTGTAGAAGTGCAGTTGAAGTTCAGTTGCTCCATTTTCTCTTGTACTGCTCTGTCCTCATACTTCCAATGCACGCACATCCTCCCTAGTATGCCCCATATTATCTTTCGGTACAGTTGATGAGCACTTCTATTCAGAATAAAGGCCAAATTTGATGGTAAGTTAGTGGATTAGGCTGAATAAAAGGTCATTTAAGTTATTAAAAATGTGGAAGGTAAGAGGAATGGTTGTGTTCCTGTCGAGTGATGCTTCTATGCAACATCACTCAGTGGTGTAGCGGTAATGTTCTGTATATCTGGGAGGTACACACTTCAGATCATTTCTGGGTTATTGGTTAGCCTGAATTTGAGTTTTGTTACTTCTTATATTCTTTAAGAGAGTACCTTTAAGTAGGTCGTGACTAGCTCCTTCTGGATTATTGCATACTTAATATTCATGATCATCACTCCATCTTATCTTGTGCTCTGACAAAATTATCTGAAGTTGAAACATAATGTACAGAAGTATTAAGCTTATTTTGAACTTTATCCAACGTCTGGTATATATAAGACAAAAATTCTCAACATTTCGGAGACTGCATCTGTCTCCGTCCTCAGGTGGATGGGGCAGGATAGACCTACTCAGTTGGGCCCTTTAGAGAGAGCTAGTCTCAATCACTCATTAACGGGCCCAACTGAGTAGGTCTATCCTGCCCAATCCACCTGAGGATGGAGACAGATCCAGTCTCTGAAACATTATGGTTTTTTGTCTTATATATACCAGATGATGGATATAGTCCAAAATAAGCCTAATAGTTCTGTACAGCATACACCATCATCAGAATCCTTTCAAGTCTATTTGAAACATAATCATGAAATAATTTGGAATCGATTAATTTATTTTTTTATCCAAAATATAATATAGAAATGGTATGTGAACGTTATAATAACCATGTGCTTGGTATCTCACAAGGTGTTCTGTATTTGGTGTACAGGGTTCTTCAGGACCACCGCGTCTCACACCCCGCGTAAGCCAGCTGAGGCAAGAAGAACGAGTAGATATGGGGAGGGAAGCTGCCCATGAACGAGAGTTACACTCAGCAATGCAAATGTCCCAATCGTGTGAAGACCTCACAATTATGTCTGGCTTGACCAGCTGCAAGGTGCAGTTAAATGTTAATTTCAGTAGATATCAAACCTTGCTCAAAACTGATAACAGTATATCTCATATATTCCCAGTTACACCATCATATGATACTATATTTGTGTGATCATTTTCGTTAGCCATTTTTGTTTAAGCATAAGTCGTGGAATGTAAAGGAAGTGTAATTTCTAATTGCTATGAAATTTTGGACTACTGAGCGGGAAGACATTTGCAACCAGTTTCATTGTTAATGACTTTGCTCTTATGCATAAAGTACCATAGTATGAAAGAGTATAGGGATCATAGCTGTATAGCCGCACCCTTTCTAAACCACCACACTGCAAGTAACAGTTCCACTGTTGTGACTCAGTCCTCTTGAATTTGTTCTTGGCATTTCCTCACACCAGATGAAATGTTTATTCCCCTTAAATTAAGTAGTGATATTTCCTCCACACAAAATGTAATAGTTATACCACCATGGCTCAGCCATTTGTTAAAATGGAAGGGTGTGCAAGATGGTAACGTTCTCATGAGAACCTCTGAGATATGTGCTATACCATTTATATCCTGATATGTTATTTTTACATTTTAAGGGGGGAATAAGTAACAGGACAGAATTGTATTCGTATGTTGTCCCTTGGTACCAATGCATGTTTGGAATTCTGTTGGTAAAACGTCCTGCCTTATCACTTGTGTGATCTGTTTAGGTATGCGGTAGCATGGTTGAGGCACTGTGCCACAAACAGAAGGTCACGGGTTCGAATCCTGATGAGGTCATTGGATTTTTTTTTTTTCCAATTTACCTAATTCTTCAAGCCACACTATGACCCTGGGGTCGACTCAGCCTCTAACAGAAATGAGTATCAGGAATATTTTTGGAATCTTCTTGAGGGTAAAGGGCGGCCGGCGCGTAGGGCTGACAACCTTACCACCATCTGTGAACCAATTGTCTAGAAAATGTGGGAGACTCGACGTCTCAACCCTGTGGGCTTTCACGGCCTGTTACAGGGATAGCTGTATCTTCTATTAGAGCGTGGAGGAGGGCCTCTTCATCGCGCTGCAGTTAAATATAGTGTGGCAGTTACGAGATGTGGAAATGGTGCTTTGAGTTGTATGCATGCTCATGTGTGGAACATAGTCATCTATCTTTGAAAATTGGCAATAAATTTTTGTTTGCAGTCAGAGCAGTTGGAGACTAGAAGGCCAGACTCAACACGAATGGTTCATCAGCTGCCGCCATTACATCTCAGCCTTCCCATTTGCCCCCCAGTATGCTCTTCCCCCTCACCAACACGGCCTGGCCTAGGTCGACAGTGTTTTTCACCAAGTATCCATAATGCGACCTGGAAAAGCCTTTCACCTAGCCCAACAAGAAAAGCTTTCACAACAAAGTACGTGCTTTGATAGTCATTATACAGGGAGTCTCACAAAATATCTGGATACACCAGAAGGTTATTTATTAGATTATTTTGAGTGAAATGTGTTGTACATATTCCTCAACTGTTATGGAGCTATTATTGAAAATTGAAATCTTCCACAAAATTATTGATTTAGTGCTAGTTGCTCGTCCATTGTTGAGGGTTGTTTAACAGCATACTTCATACAGACTGAGCTGCTAATACTTTTAGAAAAATTTCTGTCAAAGTCCATATTAAACATGTGGCTACAACATCATGGTACTTCACCCATTTTGGTCAGGAAATAATGGAAGACTTGAATTGCTGCTTGAGTATTATTTGATTGATCATGGATGACCACAGGACTGGCTTCCCTGTTCACTACACCTCACCCCCCATATCTTTATCTTTTGGGGGTAAATGAAGGAGTTGGTTAAAGACTGAGTATTGATATGGTGGGTGGCAACTTGTATTCACCCAATGCACACCATGCTAGATCCAGATATCTTTTGGCTCCAACCACATAGAACCTGTGACCAGCCAGAAGTGGGCACTGACAAAATATGTGGTAGAAGGATTTGTCCTCCGCTTCCTCCTATCCACATTTCCTGCATATAGCATTATCCAAGAGGCCATAGCATGTAGGAACCATCTCACTGTACAGTGGCCATTTAACAGTCCTGTTACCAGTCTTCACTATTGCCTGTACAATGCCAGTAGATCCATATATTGTTTTTGGAAGGCCCATCAATGAAGAGCTTCTACTATCTCATACCCAATGTTGCAGCCCCAATATTTGGAGTCCTTATTTGTCAGCTACTCATTAATTTGAGGCAGCCAGTATGTAGAGAGACATATGGAATGCTGGTTTTGCACAAATAAATGAATTACTTGAACCCTCCCTAGCCAGGCATCTGCATCTCTGTTGCCCTGAATCCCACTGTAGCCAAGAACCCAGAGGAGTATTACCTCGTTCAGATTGGACAAGGCACAAATTGCCTGTTTGACATTATCCTTGATGTCTAGGGCTTGCAAATCTGTCTGACCTTCTGAACAAATAATAAATTTGTTCTCCTGCATACAGTCTTTTGCACAGGCTGTAATTGCAAAAAAATGACTGTTTGGAACAGTCACATGTGCAGCATGTGAGTATAGCCTCATTCTCAGTCTTACCCTCCCTACATACACCTGTCTCAGATCCACCAGCCTTTCTGGACTCTTCTGCATACCAGATCAGCCCTCTGGATGGAAGAGTGTGGGCCAAGTAGATAGCCAGTGTTCATGTTGTGGTATCTCCACCTGAAAAGTGGTCCCAAGAGAAATAATAGAAATTTTATTCTGACCCATTTGAAAGACAGGATCTGATTGCATTAGGTGATTGCAGATGTGGGCATGTTCCTATGTTTAGTCCTCTGCCAGATGATTAGGCCTGCAGGCTGAGGCTGTGGCCTCTTCCTCTGCCATCAAATGCAGGGATGAAGACCAAGGAGAACCTCTAGAACATCTGTAGGGACTGTATGCACAGACCTGTTGATACTCACACGCCAGTTCACAGGCGACCATTGTCAGGCCTGACTCTACCAGACCAAATTTTTGGCCACCGCAGACATAAGCAGAGGCCTTTCTACATCTGTGTAAAGCCAGTATCAAAACAAATTGCAGACAAGAGATAAAGTCCTACAGTAAGTCATGGATGCTGCAGTTAGCATACAGATTACTTCTGAAGACATATGAAAAGCATCAAGTTCTGTTGTAAACTTGACAAGATTGTAAGTTTTGAGGTTTTCACGGCGATGACAATGAAGAAAGTTGTCTTCTGGGTTTAGGCACCGTGTATTCTTTGTTTTGGCCGACGTAGCTACTGCTCTCTGCAGCTATTCAACTGCTCTGAAGATGGAGGCGTTACGTTCCTCCGAAATGTCGGCCAAAACGAAGAATACACGGTGCCTAAACCCAGAAGACAACTTTCTTCATTGACAAGATTCTGTTTAGAAAATGCAGGAGGTCGTTTCAGTTAGCAGCTGACATAAGTAACTCTTAGAGAAAATTGCTATTTCCCTGATAAGATGACCAAATCAAATTGTTCTACTCAGCAGTTTTCTTTACATTTTCTCAGTTTTTCTTAACGGTATCCCCATAACAGTTAAGGACTCTGACCTATGTTGATATAACATTTTTCACTCGGAATAACCCAGTTGATAACCTGAAGTCTGGCCAGCATTCTGTGGGGCATCAGCATGTATACACACACAAAACTACTAGTGATTTCTGTCAAAGTGCAAATCATTGCATTCTAAAGTTTCATACATTTATGCAGTTACCTTTTAGTTGTGTCAGTTGGAAGCCTTACTCAACATTGTGCGGTATGAACTTTCATCAAGATTAGACTTCAGCCAGCAGAGGACAGTGTTTACTGAAGTTCCCAGGAACATTGACAGTTTTATGAGTAAGATTAGCCTTGAATGGTTTTAGTCATGTGATTAGAAGCTTTCACAGCAACATTGAAGTTGTCTCATGCAGACAGTTGTGGTGTGGAGTTTGTATCCAGTGTTTCAGAGACTGACTCTGTCACCATTATTGGGGTTTGATGCAATGAGTATCATATTCAGATGTTATATTTATACACAGAGTAAGCTGTTCCCTGGCTGCACCATAGCTCAAGCGGTTAGTCACTGGCTTCCCACCACGGCGGTCCGGGTCTGGTCAAGTGGGATGTGTGGTGGACAAAGTGGCACTGAGGCAGGTTTTCTCCGAGTACTTCGGTTTCCCCTGCCAATCTTCATTCTACCAATTGCTCCGCAGTCACCCTCACCTATCATCTGTGGCTGGTACAATAGGCCAGAAGTGGCTGCAATACAAGGGAGTTAGTCCCACCCGACTAGCAATAGAAAAAGCTCTTGGCTGTCCCAGTATATACCACAGAGGGAACGGTGGGCAGAGACATAGTGATGGCCTGTCCCAGCACTGGTTTACATGGAGAACAGTGGGCACAGTCAGTGATCACAGTCCATGTTGTTTATTGTTGGTCCGTCTTGTTTTCTGTCACGTTCACAGTGCGGTACCATAAACAGCTTAGCGGGAACCATGTTGATGTTAAACAGGGTACAGGCAAAGCTCAGTGGTACTGTGCAGTCCATGTCTCATATTCTTGCCATACTGTGGTGTCCTTGAAGTTTATTTGATGCTCTGCAGCCACACATGGTCATTACCCATTGTCTCAGTGGTGCAACTCATCTGTCCAGTGTACACCTTGCTGCATTTGCACAGGCTGTAGTACAGACCTGAGACCTGAGTCTAAGGCCATCTTTCAGCATTCTCTGAAGGATGGTAGGATTAATGACAAGCGACACAGACTGTTAACACTGACTGACTCAGGATGGAGTAGGTTGTGGAGATGTGAGCTGGCTGGCTGAAGATAGGTTAGTCTGTAATGGTAAGAACTGGCTNTATGGTGTCCTTGAAGTTTATTTGATGCTCTGCCAGCCACACGTGGTCATTACCCATTGTCTCAATAGTGCAACTCATCTGTCCAGTGTACACCTTGCTGCATTCGCACAGGCTGTAGTACAGACCTGAGACCTGAGTCTAAGGCCATCTTTCAGCATTCTCTGAAGGATGGTAGGATTAATGACAAGCGACACAGACTGTTAACACTGACTGACTCAGGATGGAGTAGGTTGTGGAGATGTGAGCTGGCTGGCTGAAGATAGGTTAGTCTGTAATGGTAAGAAGTGACTAGAGTGGGTTGTGAAGATGTGAACTGCCTGAGGATAGAGTAGGCTTTGAGAATGTGGACTGGCTCCAGATAGACTAGACTGTGAGGGTGTGAATTGACTCAGGATGGAGTATGTTTTGAGGGTAAACTTCCAAATATAATTAGTTTAATGTGACATGTTTACAAAAAGGTAGAGATCTTAGATCAAGCTGTGAGTAACATAATAAATGTATGTTGTATGTATGTGCCTGCAGACGTAGCCAGAGTCCCATTGCTATGCGCCCTAGCTCTCTCGGTCCAGTGAAGCGAAAGTTTGATTTAGAAGAAGAAAAGGCAGATCAATATTTATCTCCTCCAGCAAAACGACCAAATAGTTACACTGTGGACAGGGGTGGGCTTCTCATGGCCCATTCAAACAGGTGAGTATAGAAAGTCTTTTATTGGTCTTCTTAAGGTTAGACCTGTACAGTAGCGTTTGTCGTTAACATTAGATATTTTGATACTTAAGATTGCATTATTGTATTCCTCAATCACTGGACAGAAAAGTAAAGAAGAATTTTATCAAATTGCACATCAAGGAAATGAAACTTAACAGATACCATAAAAAGATATTTCTTCTCAGTGACATAAATTGTTCTTATCTAGAATGATATAGAAAACAAGGCATGATCAGGTATAGTCCTATTCCTGAATCAGTATGCAGTGCAGTTATGAAATCATAAATATGGGCAATATAATTATTTCTGAAATTGTTAGTTCAGAAGTTTAAAAAGTAATAGTCAGAATCTGGTAATACGCTTGTGTGATGGAGTGTAAATAAACTGTATAGAGGTAAGTAATGGTGTATTTGCTTAGGAAACAATTTAATCTATATCATATGGGAAGAGATGATTTAAAGGCCGTGGCTGGTGGTCACATTATTAACACAGGAGGGTTTTAATTGGTAATTGTATTGATATTTGAGGAATTTAGTGTTATAGTGTTAGAAAAATTTCTGTTTCCAGTAACATGTATATGTTCCTGAAACATAAAAATATGGGGTATATAAATCCAGATGAACAGCACATACATCTCTGGAAATGTTTTCTTCACTTGTTGTAATGGACCTCAGATTTGGAAGTTCACCTTTGAGTGTTAAATATGAAAAGAGGTTTACACATAGGCTGGCCGCACAGTTTGAGCCATGCATGTCGTTTCTTATTGCTTGAGAACGTGACACCACAAGTATGATCCTGCAGCAGAAGGGTGATTTATTAACCTTTGATGCAGAGCATGTGACTGGCTTGTGGTACTAGTGTTCCTCTTGGGATGAACTGAGGATGAGGCTCCTGTGCACTCATTTCCAATAGTTTTTAACTGAAGCCATTTGTTTGTGGCAGTCTATTTTTCTACAGCAGCATAATAGTTACACAGTTACTGGGTTTTCTGACTGTCCATTGTCCAGTATTCTAAAAACTAGAAAACAGCGTTTTTAAAACTGGGTCTGTTACCGTCCTTAGGTGAGGGGTAAAAACACTTGGATTCCTTAGAAAGAGCTAACCTTAATCACTGGATGATCAATGCCTGAGTCTGAGTCTTTTGTTATGACCAGTGGTCAGTTGGCCAGTCTGTCTTGAATAAGGCACCCATCTGGGGCTTATGACCAGATTTTTATTGGACAGTTGCGGGTTTGTTGGTGTGAGGCACTGTCTCTGATGAGAGGATGGGTCTGTCGTTTACAATTGCTGCTGGCCCTCACCAGCGCAGTCATTCTCTGGTCCAAGTCCCATGGGACTCATGACCATATTTTACCGTCTCAGATTCAAGACTCCCCTTTTAATTACTTCCTATGACTCACAGTGCTACGGTGGAGGTATTCAACCCCGCCTCCACACAGGAGTAACTCGAGTCAGAGCCAGAGTTACATTGCAACTGATGGTCAGTCGGTCTGTTTTGGTGTTTAACCCCATCAGGGACTCATGTCCAGATATTCATTCTAGTTTGAAAGTTACTGTCCTGTCCATGAGGGGTGTCCTCTCTGACGAGAGGTAGGGTCTGTCATTTATCAGTCATTGTTGGTAGTGTTAAGCCCAATGTTATTATGTAAAGTTATTTACAACTTTACTGTTATTAACTAATCCTATGTACAATATATGCAAGGTCTCTATCAGTCAGGGCTCAGTACAGCAGATTATGCCCTATTTCTAGTAGCTTCCGCTACAATAGCAGTCTAGTCACTTGGAACGGTTGTATGCTTGACCGCGTGCTGGCGTGCACCTTGGAAAACTGTCAGTGGTGCAGAGAACCTTGTTTTACAGGTGGATTAACCCATGTCAGATTCACTACAGCTATTAAATACCTGAGACCAGGCTATTTTGAAGGGAGATAACTGTAAAATATGCAATAAAAATTGTGATAAAGCACACACATTCATGGAGCTAGAATAGAAAGGGAAGTAGAAAGTTATATTATGAACCTAGCCAGCAAACCAAGTCTATGAATACCACTCCATAGAATTAAATGGAGAATTTGTGAAAACACATAGTGCCTACTGCTAGTGCTATCTATGGAGTAAAACTGAAAAACTGTAGACTGAAACCTAATAGAAACCTATGAAGAATCTCAAATAGAGTCATAGAATGTTCAAAATTAGCCAAACATGTCTATGAAGAGGGTTATAGGGTAGACTGGGATGAAGCTAGGATTTTGGAAATTGAAAGTCACAGCAGGTATAGGAAATACAGGGAATCAGTCCATATGGCATGCTCAGTCAGTCCAATCAGGCAGCCCAGTTTGGACATTTTTCCCATCTGGATTCCTGTTATCAGGAATGAGGTTACCAACTAACAGAGGAGATCTGTGTGACATGACAGATTCTTCCAAAGTCTATCATAATTCTAGTCAATCTTGTCTGGTTGATTCTGTTGGTGGAAAAATATATAAATCCTAATGTATGAAAAAAAATATCTTCTTTCAGCACGTTACTGTAAAATAATACGAGGGTAATTCCAAAAGTAAGGTCTCCTATGTTTGAAAATATAAAATAAACATTTATTTTCAATTTTGGATACATCAGTTGAATCTTGAACATGTACTCATTTCTCTACATAATCGCCATTTCGGTCGATGCATTTTTGTAGGCGCAGTGGCAGTTTTTGTATGCCCATGTCATACCAGTTCACCTCCATGCTGTTCAGGAAACTTCGAACCTCAGCTTTCACCTCATCGTCGTTGTTGAAGCGCTTTCCAGACAAATGTTCTTTCAACTTTGGAAAGAGATGGTAGTCACTGGGCGCCAAGTCCGGACTATAGGGTGGATGGGTGATGATGTTCCATCCAAACTGTTGCAGTTGAG